GGGCTCTGTGTGGTGATAGCAGGAAAAGGAGGGGGATGGAAGCCAGCTCGGGAGCCTGGCACCTCCACAGCAGCCCCCAGCTACACAGAGGTTGTCCCCTACCATGGGGCAAATACAGTGCATCTGGTGCCCGGCCTCCGGATCGCCCCAGAGCTTCCTACACCCCTGGGTTCCAAATATCTTCCTTCAAAGTGATTGGGGTTATCCTGCTATGCTGATCCTCAGATTTTAGAAAAGCTCAAGCTATTGAGGCTAAAGCCTAGAAGAGTCTAGAAGGAGTCCAGAAGACTGGTGATGGCCTTCAGAGCCTCCCTGTGCCCTTGGTGGTCCTTTGCTGTTACCAAGAAGCTAGGCCCTCCATTCACTGGGCCACGCATGCCCGGACTGGGCATGCCACTCTCAGCACAGCTGAGACCAGCTGGCATTTTCACAAAGGGCTTTACTAAATACTAAGGGAGAACAAAAGGGAAATAATTACAGAAAACACGAAAAACCCAGCCCTGGCTGCCAAGTTCCCAAAGTACAGGTTTCATTCCGTTGGTGACAACACGTCGCCCCAGGGGCCCAGGACAAGGTTGTGGGCACCTCGCCTGGCTTCTCTTGTTCTCAGCCCTGTTGGTGGGTACCATCTTGTTTCCCACCCTAGGCTCATCTCCTGACTCCTTTCCCATTCAGCACCACCCCGGGCCTCCCACTGAGTTCTGGTCTCTTGGGCAGAGCCATGAGCCTTTTCCCCTGGGGGTTGTTAGGACTGTGGTGACCAACACAGCACATGATTACACAGTAATGAGAGGTGGTTCTCCTAAACTGACCCCTGACCCAGAGAGGCCCACCCAAGTTGAAAGGTTTTCAGTGTGGTCTAGGAAGGGGTCTTTTTTCTGAAGATCTGAAGGCATTTAAGAGTGGTTGATTTGGGACATTTCTTTGTGGGGACAGGAAGAATCTCTAAGAACTGGCCCAATCCAGTGCACACCGAGATGCTTCTACTGTATCCCCCAGTAGCCACTGAACCAAGAAGCCATTAGATAATGCCTGGAAGAGGTCTATGGCCAAAAGGAGAAGGGTTCAGGACTGGGTCTACAGGAGGAAGAGACTGAGGGGGCCCACCAGCCATCTCTATGCTGTTGGCTAATACAGCATGTCCAGTCACTAACGTGAAAAGGCCTTTGGCCCCAAACTGCTCTCAGAACTCTCTGCAGGCTGAGAAGGACAGGAGGGACTTCTCAGCAATCTCTGGCCAAGCTTCTGGTCCAGGATTCAGAGATACCATTAGGAGAGGCTGGTTAACCAGGGTACACTAGAGAACACCTCCCCAGAACTTGTTGCATACTCATTATAGAGAAAGGTACAGAAAGTCACATTATCATTACAGGGAGGCGAAAAGTTCAGAGGGTAAAGACATGGAAGAGGGTAGGGGAAAAAAAAGGAAAATGAATCAGGAAACTTCTTTCTTTCCTCTTAAAAATATTTTAATTGCTATTATAAAGGTGGTGTACAGAGGGGCTGCAGTTACATGAGTCAGGTAATGAGTACATTTCGTTTTGGACAATGTCATCCCTTCCCTTGCTGTGTTCCAATCCCCCCCACCATGCATACCCACAAGTTACATAGTTCACTTTCAACATAGTGTCTAGTGAGAACCACTGCTGCATTAGTTCAGCCTTTGTCTCTCCATCTCTGTGCCTCCCTTACACTTCTTATCTTTTTTGGGGGAGGGTAGGGAGATATTATTGTTATTGTTTGTGTTTTGCTTTGACAGCATCTTGCTAGGTAGCCCATTGTTGAACTGGAATTTCTGATCCTCCTGCCTCAGCTTCCCAAGTGCCACCATGCCCAGCTGAATTGGGAAGCTGTAAGGCAAGCAATTGGGTTAGGGCAGGTGTTCAGATACAGACTGACTATTACAGAAGCTCTGTGATTGTGGAAAACCTGACTCAGAGCACACAGACAAGGCTGCCAGTATTTCTCCAACCCAGCTTCACACATGGCCATGCATTTGCCCAAGTCTCTGGGAAAAATCACTTCCTGTGTGGCTTCTCCTTCCCACACACCAACCATTTAGTGTGTTAAGCAACCACTCTGCATGGTGAGGGAATGACCCAGAATAGGTTCTAGACATTATCTCTATCTTTAAGGTACTTGCAGTCTGGTTGGGGATAGAGCTCATGCTCACTGGTTAGAGCTTTGGAGAAAGATCTAGGCTGAATCCCCATGGCAATTCCTAACTTAGTAGCTAAATGACTACTAGCAAAGTACTTACATCCTCTGGGCCTTTATTTCCTGTCCTTCAAATGAGAATTCTTAATAGTCTGGGGTAGAGTACATGCTTTGCAAGAGCAAGCACCTCTAAACCACCAAACAAGAAGAACTAATTAAAACCTACCTCATGGGAGCAGGCATTAGTGGCTCACGCCTGCAATTCAGATACTCAGGAGGTTGAGATCTGAGGATCATGGTTCAAATCGTTAGCAAGGACAAGAAAAACAACTTATTTTCTACCTGTCTCTGTCCATGCTGTCAAGAACTTGGCTCTGTAAGGGTAGCATGTTTATTTCTCTAATGAGTTCAACTCTAATGAGTTCAACTCTAATGAGTTGAAATACAAAGCATACCTCTCAATTCCCATTGCTTGTAGCCTAGGGAGTAAGTGCTGTCATTATTCCTGCTTTCCAGGAATATAGCCACAAGCCACAGCTTTCCATGTCTCATCCTCCTCCTTCCACCTCCAACGAGACATGGAAAGCTGTGGCTTGAGGCTATATGGCTGGACAGCAGTGGAGACCCAACGTAGGCAGAGGCAGAGCTATGATACACCTGCCCTGGACTGGAAGTAGACAGGAACTCTTGAGCGGTAGTAATTTGGGAACCTTTGTGGTTTCTGTCACCTTGGTGATTTTAGTAAATTCATCTCCTGACCCAGGAAGCCAGGTTTAGAAGGGCGTGGGTCTAAGGTCTAGTGAGATGCACTATAGGAATCACAGACCCTCACTCCAGAATGAAGATGTTTTCGCATCCCCAGGCATCTGCTCAGACAGAAATGTCATTGGGACATTAGTATCACATGCCCAGTGCCTAAGGTAGGGCCTAAAATAATTAGTAATTACAGTAGAACTAAAGTAATATGTGTTAGACCCCCCCAAAAAAGCACACGAATTAATCCATACACATTTTTCACATCCCTTTACAAACACGTATAGCAAATATCCCCAATATGTGTGTCCAAAATATCTAGATAAGGATGTGCAATATAGTTATGTATGCACACTTGTGCACAATACACACTTATACTCACACAATGAATAGATGGCACAATTATCCATAGGTGCTTTGGACACCCATAGACACACCTACCCATCCTCATCTCCCCATACCACCCCTCTACCATGATTCTGGAACCAGGAAGGACTCTCTACACCCTACAATCCCCAACATGTTGTCAGAGCTTGTCAGAATGTTCTTTGCAGCCTACACTTAGCTGGTCTGAGACTGGCCCCTAGCCCCTGGGACAGGATCAGGACAGGACAGGGAGATGTAGGCAGGCAGTATCTCTGGCAGCCCCTCCTGGGTGGGCTGCCCACAGCGGATGCAGAGGTCATCGGGGTGAGAGCCAGGACTGCTCTGGCCTCCCTGCCTCTTGCTGGAATGTGAGCTATAGGGCCACCTTCCAGGCCCATCTCCTCCCCCACAGCTACTCACCAGCCCCAGACCCAGTGACTCTGAACCCTGCCAGGTTTTCTTTTTGCATCCAGAATGTTGGACACAGAGGGTCATCAGGGAGGTGAAGGTAAAGAACAACTGAAGACCAAGGAAGGGGATGCATATTACATGGTACACAAGCCTGTCCAAGTCACAGGATACACACACACACACACACACACACACACAGAGGCAGGCACATAGATTCACCATTTCACCAAAGCGGGCTCAAATACACTTCTAAACATCCCCAGAGACAGTGGACACACCATCACATGGGCATATAGAGAATTGTGCACACGCAGCCACCCCTCTCCCCCCAGGAATCTCTAGTCACATACAAATAACCATGCACCTGCGCGCGCGTGCACACACACACACACACACACACACACACACACACACACCCCATCCACACTCTGGCTGCCCTGGGATATTTCGTCAGTTCAGACTGAGAGGAGATGCCAGGCTAGCCCACTCTCCACCCGCTGCGGGCTGGCCCCGCCTGAGCTGGCAGGGAGGGCTGCTTCCTGCAGAGGAGGTGGTGCTGGACCCCCAGCCAGGTACCCCGAGGTGTTTCCTGTGGACCCTCCCACACCGAGGCTGACTGGCAGCCTGCCTGCGGGGCCAAGAGAGATCTGGATGGAGTTGGAGTCACGTAGCTTGGAAGTTGTCTCTGTCAGTGTCTGGGACGGACACGGACACGCACACACGCGCACACACACACGCATACACGCGCGCGCGCGGCCCAAGAGCGCACGTGTACGCACGTGTAAGGAGTCCAGCAGACCGAGGCTGGGCTGGCGGCTCCACGTTCCACGTCTTCGGCTATGAAATGGGGTGAAGTGATCCTTTGGCCTCCGAGGACGGGACGGAGGGCGACGGCAGACGGGGCCGGCCCGGGCCAGCCCCCGCCGCTGCCTCCCGGCAGTTACATGGGTCAGGTAATGAGTACATTTCGTTTTGGACAATGTCATCCCTTCCCTTGCTGTGTTCCAATCCCCCCCACCATGCATACCCACAAGTTACATAGT